TAGTAATGCATAAAGGACAAACACACACATACACATACATTGCTTTTTATATATATAGACTAGTGTAGTTACTAAACAACGCCAAGGTCAAGGTCAGAACCAAACTGAGTTAATTAAAGTTATTATGAAACTGTTGTGACATAGATACTATTACTAAAATAGAATTTGAATTGTAGGCCTGAACTTGAAGACAAATGGACAAGTTATTAATAGTGACTATGCAATAGTTGGTACCGAAGTAAAATAGTTAGACTTTGTTGACAATATCGGATGTACATCTGGGTGTGACTGAGTATATATAAGGAGCGATACTTTTTTGGGAGAGCGAGGGGCAGATTATGCAGGAGAGAGATCGAAGATGTGAGCTGAGAGACAGAATATGTGAGAGACATGTGCGTTTAGAAACGAAGATGGAACGATCGCGCGCTGTAATGAAGTGAGACATAGAATGGATTGAATGCAGAGACAAATGTTAGTAGATTGAGAGACGGAATGACACAGTGTGTGGGCCTTTGACAGTAGAGGTCTGTTGAGATTCATCTAATTATCTGAACTGTGATTATTCATGAAGAAATAAAGTGTTGGAATCTTAAACCCGCGGACAGAGTGTGCTTCTTTATATCAGGTGGGTGAATCGGTACCAAATGAGGTGTCCTCGGCCTAGAGGTGGGATTTCCTAAGCCGTCAACGAATACCTTCAGACAGGTGGATGTACACTCCTCTGTCGCATTTGGGTGCTGTGAGGAAGGGGTCGCACAAGACCTAACAAAGAACGTCACACATGCTGCTGTCGCACTTGGTCACACACACACGCACACACACACACACACATATATGTATATATATATGTATATATATATATATATATATATATATATATATATATATATATATATATATATATATATATATATATATATATATGTGTGTGTGTGTGTGTGTGTGTGTGTGTAGATGTAGACAGATGGATTGCAATTAGAAGTGAGACACCGTCTCAAACTAAAAAAGCTAAAAGAGAGACTAGGTCATGAGATTCGAAGGAGACAGTCATCAATTTAAAAGTGAGTTTAGGTCATCAAATTAAAATAGGTAGGCTACAGGTTCTCAACTTAATACAAAAACCGGACATCAAACTAAAATTGAGGCCAGGTTATCAAATTTAAAATGAGAACGCCTCACCAAATTAAAAGTGAGACAGCATCGTCGTAATAGAATGTGAGACCGCGTCACCAAGTTAACAGTGAGACAGCCAACCACCCCCTCCTTAACCCCCACCCCCAACACAAGACCGTGACGTCGCCAATGTTTTCACACTAAAGGGAAACAATCGGGAGACGAGTGGACCAAGGGGGATAATTGATTAGAACTTAATCCCCTCTCTGACGTTACTCACACTGAGACCACCCCTCCTCCCCCTCTTTCACCCCATGTACTCAACATGGTGTCCTCATATACCACATAGTGTGTTGGGAAAGGGGGGGGGGGGTAGCCCAGCATTACATGCACGTGCACATTTATAGCCGGATTATTTTTTTTTGTTCCGTTGAAAAAGTAATCAAGTTTGGTTTTTTAAATTTTCCTGTATTAAAACTCCGTATTACCGACTATAACATTAAAATAATTGCAACGGTTTTAAAATAAAAATCAGCGTCGCAGTTGTTTTATATTATAAAATTCATGTTTTTTTTTTATTGTGGAGTCTTGTTTATGCGAATAACAGTTCATGAATGTGGTTGTCGTGTTGTTGTTTGTTTACAAACTAGTCTGGTTAATATTTAACTTTGTCAAGTATTAATTTACAAAACATGAACGTATTAAGTCCTATGAGTTATATGTCAAATGAACATATGTACTAAGGTAATGGTGGATTCTTTTTTTTAATGAGAAATCTGGGATGAATGCTAAAAGCAAAATTATGTACACTTTTTTTAGCCACAACAGAAAATGGCTCAGCTATGGCCGCTCTAAATCTCTGGCACTAATCGATTAGAGTACCTTGTTTGATTTACGGTGAAGGGGTAGGTACAGTAGCACATCAGACACGCTCAGTACCCAGTCTACACACTGTGTTATGGGGTGTATTATCCTATCACGTGACGCATCTCATCCATTTATGTTAGGGCCTATCTCTCTCCTCCAATCCACTTTTGTCTCCTCCAATCCAAATGTGTCTCATCCAATCCAATTGTATCTCCTCCAATCAAATTATATGTCCTCCAATCCAATTGTGTCTCCTCCAATCACAGTATGGGTCATATGTATCTATAAGACGATCTATAAGACGGGGTTGCATCTACTTCAGATAACGGAAGCTTTCACTTTCTTGAGCGAACCTTCAGCGTGTGGCTGGTGTGGTACTTGTGTGACTGGTGTGGCTGGTGTGGCTGGTGTGGCTGGTGTGGCTGGTGTGGCTGGTGTGGCTGGTGTGGCTGGTGTGGCTGGTGTGACTGGTGTGACTGGTGTGACTGGTGTGGCTGGTGTGGCTGGTGTGGCTGGTGTGGCTGGTGTGGCTGGTGTGGCTGGTGTGGCTGGTGTGACTGGTGTGGCTGGTGTGGCTGGTGTGGCTGGTGTGGCTGGTGTGACTGGTGTGGCTGGTGTGGCTGGTGTGACTGGTGTGGCTGGTGTGGCTGGTGTGGCTGGTGTGACTGGTGTGGCTGGTGTGGCTGGTGTGGCTGGTGTGGCTGGTGTGGCTGGTGTGACTGGTGTGGCTGGTGTGACTGGTGTGGCTGGTGTGGCTGGTGTGGCTGGTGTGGCTGGTGTGACTGGTGTGGCTGGTGTGACTGGTGTGGTACATTGAGGTGCGATATGACAATACATTGTCGTGGACTGTGACTTACATTTTGACATACACAATGACGAACATTATGAAATATACTATGACCAACGTTCCCTCTAAGGGTAAAAGGTCAGTGTTCAACACGTAGGCCTATTTTGATTGTCGGATGTTCTAAAAGTCTTACACAAGATTAGGTAAATTTTACAAAACGACTTCGCGGCCGCGCAATCGCGCAGCTTAGCAAAACAAACATTGATCATAACGTACATTACGACATACATAATTCGGTGTTTCTTTCAGATGTTGTTCTCCGGTTGACGAGGGACGAGGGGGGGGGGGGGGGGAGGGGGAGTGGAGAGGCACTTGAAACGTTCTGGGAGCTAATTTTAAGTTTACCAGAGTGTGTTTAGAGCGGACAGTGGTCAGAGTAGGCCTAGGGGCCTATATACTTTCTATGTCAATCACGTATTTTTCTATTTCGTCCGGCGGTGGTAGTGCTTTGGGGTGAAGGTCCAGGGCACCCTAAGAGATGCCGAAAAATTTCTGAAATTAATGCCTACATTATAAAGTAGAAAATTACGTACACTATGGCTTACTAGTTCATTACGTGCACAATAACTTTATAGTTCATTACGTACGCTATGACTTGCTAGTACACTATCTGTGCTATTTATTGCCATCCACCACACAGAATAAATGACCACCAAAGTCCGATATCCAGCATACATGGATGAGCGACATGTATCCAGAAACACACACACTGCCGATATCCACCATAACGATTATCCACTTTAAAATTGAAACAGAAATTAAGCCCATGCAGTAGCCTACTTTAAAAAGTTATCCACCCAAATTGGTAACCACCAAAACATGTATCCACTATAGTATGTATCCACCCACTGTGGGTATCCACCCTATCCAAGTATCCACCCGTCTCCTCCCTCCTGACCAGGTGTTTCCCCAGACAAACCCAGAAGCTTCAGATGTACGTTTTCATCAAACGGATTTTTTACTTTTTTAAACTGATAACAAACGATAGACAGGTTTTGAAAAAGTAAAAAAAAAATTCTTCAGATAGCTTAATCCTTCTAGTTTATTCATCTACCATTGGTAGACTAGGCTCAGGTAATTAGCTTCATCTTTTATCGAAACTCTTTTATTTTGTTCTTTTAACTATTCGCATCATATTCTCTTTTTATTTTATACTGTAATTTTCTTTACCCTCAGCTGCCTTTCAAAGTCCGTTTCAATTCTAGCGCGCTCTAGCGCTCTCTGCGCTTTTCTAACTTTTCAACCATTGATTTTTCAGCCCTAGAGTGGGCCGACTCTCGAAGTTTGATAGACGTCTGTTCTAACGGTACGTCCCAGTGACGTGCCCCATCCCCCGACCCCCGGGACGTCAGCCTGCCAGAGCTCACCCAGCCCGCCCGACCCTCATCATTGGACACCCGGGCTAAACCACGCCGGGCGAATCACGTGGTGGGACCGGCGCGCGGGGGGCGTGGCTAACGGAAATTCTCGCCCCGCGCGCTACCACGGGAGTTTAGCTGAGGGGGGAGAGACGGACGGAGGTAAAACACACAGGTCTGTGAGGAGCCGACACACACAAGGAGCCTCCTCACCTCCGTGGGGCCGCTAGCATCCCAGTCACAACCATTGGTGCAGCGACGCACGGCAGTCGGAACGGTGAACGGTCGCCTTTACGCATCATTGCTTGTTTTTCCTGGGCGAGTTATTGGACTAACAATATTTGACACAAAATCAACAACTTCATTTCGTATTATTCCAAGGATTTCCTCGGACAATATTCAAAATATATCTCGAACTAGTCTAGTCTCGATTCTAGATCTAAATAAAATAAAATTTAATTCCGTATAACGCGAACCGTTAGTTATAGATCTAGATCTAGAGTCTAGTAGATCCAGAGTGAATTAAATTTTCGCGAAATCTTCTTCAGCGTATTAACAGTTGTAGTCTACGTGAATATATATATTGTGTGCGTGTGTATTTCGTAATGGATAATCAAGATTTAATAATTAAGTTTACAAATGATCCTTACGCAACAAAATTGGAAAAAATTCTCTGTTGAAATATTTCTTCAATATACAGTTGTGGTGCTACAATCACGGGCCTAATTACAATAAGATCTAATTTAAAAACGTGTTTTTTCCCTCGTATGCGGGAGATCTAGATCCAATAGTTTGAAAAATGGTCATGTTTACGTAAGCGATCAAAGTAGAATTAAAATCATTCGGAGAACTTGCAGTCTAAGTTTTTTTTTTTAGATCCTAACCCCCCCAACCGTTTTCAACGTCGTTCTACGATCACCTCGGGTCGCCCCACCCCCCAGCAATGTTGGACATGCAGACGGTAGGGCTCCAGTCACCCTACCCCAGCTCGGCCGTGGGCGGGATGGGTTCGATCCCCAACATTTCTATCGGGAACATCGGGAACACGACGGGCCTGGGTCTCATGTCGGGACTGTACGGGGACCAGAACTATTACAGGCACGGCGGGTAAGTTTTTAACTACCCACTTTTTATCTTTTACACAATTTTTAGCTTTTACACAATTTTTATCTTTTACACAATTTTTAGCTTTTACAAAATTTTTATCTTTTACACAATTTTTAGCTTTTACACAATTTTTACCTTTTACCCACTTTTTAGCTTTTACAGTTTTTATATTTTACCCAGTTTTTATCTTTTACAGTTTTTATATTTTACCCAGTTTTTATCTTTTACAGTTTTTATATTTTACCCAGTTTTTATCTTTTACAGTTTTTATATTTTACCCAGTTTTTATCTTTTACAGTTTTTATATTTTACACAATTTTTAGCTTTTACGGTTTTTACCTTTTGCACCCGTATTTATCTTTTGTACCCAGTTTTACGGTCTTTTGTAGCCATGCCATTTGTCCTTTTACTTAATTTTATCTTTTTTTTTTGTCTTTGTAGTTTTATCTTTCTGTATATAACATTTTTTTTTTTACATCTAGATCCTAGATCTAGAATCTAGATCTAGATCTATTTCTATCTGAAACCTTTCCCTTCAGTATTCTAAGTAGATCTAGATCTAGATCTAGAATATAGAGTCTAGTTCTAGAATTGTACTAAATTTCCTTACACTTGACAAGACTTAGATTTCTAGATTACCCATTTTTTTCTTGCCGGCAATTACCTTAACATTTTATCAATCTCAATTTATCTCTAGAATTCTAGATCTAGATCTAGATTGTTAAATTGTGTAATAACAAATTTAATCTAGATCTCTAGATCTATGCCTAGTCTTTAATACAAAATGTAAGCACCGTGTTCAATTAGGGCATTTGGATCTCCAAATTAGAAATCTGGAGGATCTAGTTTGCTAGCCTAGATCTAGACTCTAGATCTCTATGTATAATCTAGACTTAATACACTATTACACTCTTGGTTAGAATCTAGTCAAAAATATTTAAAATCTAGATCTAGGCCTATTTCTATACTTTATCTTCATTAGTCCAAGGTTGTTATTTATTTTAACGGTTCACGGGAATGAGTCACAATTTGAAGATTGTCACACCCCACCGTGACCATTTTATCTTTGTTTTCTGACATTTACCTATGATGATAGATTTTAATATGCAGTTTTAAATTAAGCCTATCAACTAGAATATGAAGCTAAAAGGGTCAGTACATCGTTTAAATATACTCTACCTAGGGGCCCAAGTAAAGTAGTGAGATGTTTCCGCTAGGCCTCTATGTGTTAGACTCTGTGTTTTGTTGTAGATCTAGATCTAGTTGTGCAAACACGATGATTTAAAAGAAACGCCTTAATAAAGAATCGTTTTTGTTAAGTGTTTCAGTTGTTTGGGTCTAGATTTTTTTATACACGTGTAAACTAGGCTTATTACATATGAACTGTATACAATGTACACAGTAGCCGGTACTCTGACCATTATACGTACACAGTAGGCTGTTACTGACTGTTTACAAAATACAGATTTTAGGCCTTAAAAAATAGGCACAACGAAATAGTAGCCTATTAGGCCTAGGCTTGGTGCCGATATTATAGAGTAGCCTACACGCCTACATTTAGCCTTGAGATCACCAGTCTCTGAACAGATATCTGGTGATTTAGCCTATCCAGACGCAATTCAAATTTAGGGCCGAGTGCCTAGAGTGAAACTTTTCGACGGAAGCAAAATATAGTAGGCCCTGGTGTCAAATAGGAGTAGGAAGACGACCCGGCTTCATTGGTCTTAACACAGTTTTCTTCTAGAAAATTCTTGCTGAATACAGGCTTTCCGGGCCCACCTTTATGTGTGGCTCACCTTTATGTGTGGCCCACCTTTATGTGTGGCCCATCTTTACGTGTGGCCTATCTTATGTGTGGCCCATCTTTACGTGTGGCCCACCTTTATATGTGGCCCGTCTTTATGTGTGGCCCACCTTTATGTGTGGCCCATCTTGACGCGAGGCTCTATAAGGCTGCCTAAACTATCCCACCTCTCGTATTGATTCGGTGTCTCTATGGCCATAGACGTAATGTTAATAATCTAATAGCCTAATATAGAGCCTAATGAATACACCGAAATATTCAAACTAAATTCCCTTAGAAGATGTTCATTAATTTTCTTTGACAAGAACACAAAGATATAGGACAATCACAAAGTAAATTGTGACAATTACGCTGACGCTATAAGGCCTAGTCTAGCCTGAAATCATATACCTTCTAAATCGTATGAAATCCTACCCAAAACCCGTGGCTAGATCTTGTAGGCTTAGGAGGCCTATCTGTACAATTTGGGCCACTTGAAGACGCTGATCCAACTAATGTAACAGAATGGCTGTCGTTAAGCCTCTTGTGTTCATGTAAAAAAAAACAGACAATAGACCTACAACTGCACGAAGATATACAACTGCATTTTTACAAAGTTATACAAATACATTCTTACAAAGTTATACAAATACATTTTACAAAGGAATCCAACTAAATATAACAAAGGCACACAACCATGATTGTACAAAGAAATACAAATTCATTTACAATGGTAGGCTATACAGCTACATTTTACAAACGTATATTACTACATTTTACATTTGTAAGCGTTAAGTTATTATACTTATGAACTGTTATCATACCATACTTTATTGAACACGCATTTTAAAAAACAAATTTCACAGAAAGTAATTTTTATTACATTGACTCACAATATTTTCTTAACTAATAACAGAATTCTTCCAAAAAATAATTTTTATTTCAACGAGCGCTTGATGATTTGTTCAAAATACTCTTATATAGGCCTATAGTCTATTTCTAAACCTTTAACTATTTCTTCTTAATTAAAAGCACGAAATTTGGTGCATTATTGTAGTTGAAATTGCTCTACTCTAATTCGGCTCTGTTGCATAACTTAATTACAATTATTTCAACTCTTTTAATAATAAGACGTCTTTGAATTTGTGATAGACAAACACTAATCTTTGTAAAATATTATAAAAATCATACATAAAATGCTAGATGCAATCACTTAAAATTTTACTTTAATCTTACATAAATATAAAATCACTCTTACATAATTTATTTGCCAGGCATTAATTTTTGTTGTCGTAATTTAAGCATAATTTTAAATACAAAGCACAGTATGAAACATGCCGGCTAAATCTTAGGTCAAGTGTTGCCGGTTTGCTCTGAGTAGCCGGTTATTTTCCGATTCATTAATTGGTAAGCTGAGATTTACCGTGTAAGTTTATTGTAAACTTGACCGGCTAAACCAGACACAACTAAATGCCGGTTAAACCAAAGTTGAGTTACTGCCGGTTATACCAAAGTTGAGTTACTGCCGGTTATACCAAAGTTGAGTTACTGTCGGTTAAACCACAGTTGAGTTACTGCCGGTTATACCAAAGTTGAGTTACTGCCGGTTATACCAAAGTTGAGTTACTGCCGGTTATACCAAAGTTGAGTTACTGCCGGTAAAACAAAACTTGAGTTACTGCCGGTTAAACCAAACTTCGAGTTACTGCCGGTTAAACCAAACTTGAGTTACTGTCGGTTAAACCAAACTTGAGTTACTGTTGATTAAACCAAACTTCGAGTTACTGCCGGTCAAACCAAACTTGAGTTACTGCCGGTTAAACCAAACTTGAGTTACTACCGGTTAAACCATACATGACTTAGGTCCCGTAAAATCCGGCCCTGCTTACTGCCGGTTATGCTGATCTTTGCGCCCCACCCGACTCTGATTTTAGCCGAACGTCTAAAAATGTGTGTTCACTTGTCAGCACACTTTGAGCGGCTAATTAGAAAGTATTTTGTCAATTCTTCAAGTTTCTCATAGGATTTTATTTGGTTAGCCCGTCCAGAGCCTTTAACCGGTTAACTTAGTAACATAGTCTTTAACCGGTTCAGTTAGTAACGTAAAGTTTGACCGGCAGATCACCGGCTATCTGAAATAACACGGCGATTACCAACTAATTTCATAACAAAATGAAATCGACAAGCATAATGCATTTTAAAATTTTATATGACTCGGGTATTCATTCCAACATAGCCTTTAGCCGGCTAGTTTTTATGTCGGTTAGGCCTAACCGGATGTTTGTTATGTACACAAACATCATTGGCTCAATTGAACACACAGCTGTGTGACCTCGGTGTTTAAAGGTTTAACCACATACTATCTAGCGTTAACTTACGTCATGACATATCGAGAGGTGGGTGGTCGGACCTCATACACATAGAGTAATCACACAATCATACGCACAATGTCATCACACAATCATACGCACAATGTAATCACACAATCATACGCACAATGTAATCACACAATCATACGCACAATGTAATCACACAACCATACGCACAATGTAATCACACAACCATACGCACAATGTAATCACACAATCATACGCACAATGTCATCACACAATCATACGCACAATGTAATCACACAATCATACGCACAATGTCATCACACAATCATACGCACAATGTAATCACACAACCATACGCACAATGTAATCACACAATCATACGCACAATGTCATCACACAATCATACGCACAATGTAATCACACAATCATACGCACAATGTAATCACACAATCATACGCACAATGTAATCACACAACCATACGCACAATGTAATCACACAACCATACGCACAATGTAATCACACAATCATACGCACAATGTCATCACACAATCATACGCACAATGTAATCACACAATCATACGCACAATGTCATCACACAATCATACGCACAATGTAATCACACAACCATACGCACAATGTAATCACACAATCATACGCACAATGTAATCACACAATCATACGCACAATGTCATCACACAACCATACGCACAATATCATCACACAATCATGCGCACAATGTAATCACACAATCATACGCACAATGTCATCACACAATCATGCGCACAATGTAATCACACAATCATACGCACAATGTAATCACACAATCATACGCACAATGTAATCACACAATCATACGCACAATGTAATCACACAACCATAC